AATATATATTTATTGAATTACATAGGTACCATTCTGTTCCACAACCTCTCCACCTTTTAAGGGATGTACATATATATGTTATTTGTTTTCAGTCATTTCGACATATTCAGACACGCACCATGTATAAAAAATCGGCATGGACTTTCCGGACAACCGAATAAATAAGCTCGACAATCTCTGCTGTAGAGCAGCGTATCGATAAAATCGCGTACCTGAGGTCACGTCGCAGTTGTCGACGTTCGCCTTGAAGTCGCACATCTGTCTGGAGACATCGAACAGCAGACCTTGGGAGCATTTGAACTCGAACACCTCGTTGTCTAATAAACAAAACACGGAAACTCGTTAGAGTATCTAGCATTATCGAATGCCGACATATGTAAGATTATAATAGTAATTCATCATCGTAAAGTGTTTAAAAGAATGTTATAATATTAGGTTGTCCCAGAAGTTTCTTCCATTTCCTTAGATAGTAATACATATACAACATTTTATGCATAATGTTACATTATCGAATTGCGTACAATTCATTTTGTTCTATTACAGTTATGACATTAACATCTAAGAAATTAGGTTGTCTAATTGTATAAACACTGCCACACAAAATAACTGAATGCAAGTCACGAAAGAAACTCTTGGGACAACCTAATAGTTTCTGTCGAGTGTCAGCGTTGCGATGGTTGAGCAATTGTGGGATTATTATTTTTTACGAACGAAACGCGAAAACGCTAGAACGCAATGGTAGGGCAATTACCTAAGCAGAGGTAATACTTGGCGCACTCAATTGGCGACCAAACGTTGCGAGCCGGTGCATTGGGGTTCCGATAAAACCGGCTGTCGTCGATACATGGCGTGTCTTCCGATTTGTCCGCTCCCCGTGCCGCAATCGCTGAAATGCACAAAACTTGCATCGATCCGCGAGTTTCTGCCAAAGCTATCTTTGTCACAGTGTGAAAACTGATTTCGCAGTTAAACACTTTAATGAACCAAGCCAAGCTATCTTTGTCCTGACAACGAAGCTAAATAAGTCAATCCGCTATGGGTCCGTCGTACTTTCGAGTCACATGCTAATATACACCCTTGGACAAAAAGATAGCAAATATGTGCTATCATTAAATTCTCATGGATGCAGTCAGAATCCTCTAAATTTCACTAATAGTATATAAACAGTACCTCCGTGTAATATAATATATAACTTGAAAACTGTAACTTTACTGTTCCCCTTGTGTTTATCAACAATAATGTCGAAATGCGGTCGGCGAAATGATAGCACATCAAGTTTTTCGTGTACTTTTCTTAGTCTCTTTCTGTATTTCGAGTTGAGTAAACGTAAGGTTGTGTAGAGAATTAGTATCTAGAAAACTATAAATATTTGTTATAAAAATGGGTCGTGGAGAAAAGTTAAATGAGAGAGAGAGAGAGAGAGAGAGAGAGAGAGAGAGAGAGAAAAACAATTTTAGAATTAAGGAAACAAAATTTGTTAGTTTCGAAAATTGGGAAATCTATTGACAGAAGTCGAAAAGTTATCCATAACTTATTAAAAGACGTTAAACACACATATGCTATCTTTTTGTCCAATGGTGTATCTTTTACCAAGTAATTTTAGTATTTTCACAAGATGGC